GGGTATACTGCTGGAAGAGGGAGCTGGAGGGAAAGATTTAATCTTTCTGCAATAATGCTTAGTAAGATCAAATATAGACAAGACTATACAGAACTAAATAGGGAACAGCCTTGGGGCATGAGCAAAACTGCTGACTGATAATGGACAGAAATTTGCCTATTGTGAATTCAATTACATGCAAAAAGATGAGTAAGAAAGCTCAGGGCAAAAGTTCATAATTTGTCTTGAAATGATTCTTATATCAGAAACAAATACCAGATAAAATTTTCTACGATGAAATGGGAGATTTCACAGGAGTTGGCCTGTCAGACATAAGAGAGCAGAGTGGAGACTATAGCACCAACTCCTAACAGAATTAGAAGATGTCCTAATGATCTTGATGTTGTCTTTAAGATGGACTAATAAGAACAGCAAACAAAAAGGTTAGATGGAAAATGTGTACGCATTATTTTGCAGTAAAATTGATTAATTTTATTCTACAATTAAAAATGAATATATTTCTGTGCTTGCCCATAACTTTAGATCCATGACAAATACTTTATTAAAGTCATATGTCATCATAAGGGACAATGAATATTGTGACAAAAAACAACGTGCACTGAAAATGTTCATGGAGACGAGACTTATAAGACTAAAGCTTGGTTGGTAGTTAGGGATTTTGGACAGCTACTGGTATATTCAGATGTTGGAGTGGACTTTCCACAGCTAGAAAAGTATTCTTAAAAAAAATTCAGCTCTTTGGAAATATATTAATGCAAATATAAATCAATCAACAAAGAAACAATATTCTGAAGGGTGACACTTTTCAGAGTGCTCCCTAACGACACGAAGTGGTGCGAAATACAGAAGGAAAACTATGGAAAATAGATATGTCCATAGCCTGAATGATGCTTCCAGGATGTGATGTGTTTTGAGAGATCTATTTTGTTGAAAACAAGAACTGTTGGTCCATGAAAAGTAGATTTGGCAAAGTTTTATTGATACTATAAAACTTTGTAGGTACCATCGTAATGAGTGTTGGTAATTTTTTTATGGGCTGTTACCACATAAATTTAGAAATATATTCTTAATACGCTTGGGAGTTAGACTTGTGTGGATTTTTAATATATTGGTTTAGATTTCTTTTTTCCTTTATTCATTCACAGGATGAGGGCACACCTTTAGGCAGTAGTTATTGCCCATCCCAGTTGCCCAGAGGGCAGTTGAGAGTCAACCAAGTTGAGAGTCAACCACATTGCTGTGGGTCTGGAGTCACATGTAGGCCAGACCAGGTAAGGCTGGCAGTTTCCTTCCCTAAAGAACATTAGTGAACCAGTTGGGTTTTTCCTGACAATTGGCAACGGATTCATGGTTATCACTAGATTCTTAATTTTTTATTGAATTCAAATTCCACCATCTGGCATAGCAGGATTTGAGCTCAGATCTCTGGATTAACAGTTCAGCAATAATACCACTAGGCCATTAACTCCCATGTAACGCAAATTAGGTCTGAAATAATTGGAGATTGGAAATCGTACTTAACTAAAATTGCTAACTCATCACAGAAATAAGGTATTATATTTAAAGAAGAGATGGGCCAGTTGTAAAGCCTGATTGGTCAGTTGAACTGCTGGGCACTCAGACTAGGTCAAATGCTACTTTTGTTGTATTGCAGTGAAGCACTACAGTATAAAATCCAGCCCTTGGGAATCTTCTCAAGACTGGGCTTCACACATCCTTGTAAATATCAGCGGCAAGTCCACTTCCACTTAGATAGCCCACCTCTCAAAGTTTTTTTTGTGAAAGCCCTTTGCTTAGTATGATAGGGGACTTGCATTCATCGTTTCTGATGTTCTGCACTCCAGCAGGGGTGAGTAGTCATGGTTGTCAATGCTAGTACTAGAGGTAGACCAAGGACATTGCATTCAGCCATGGACTGAACATTTAGTTAATTCAGAGATCTCACTGAGCCCAAGAAGAGATGTGGGAGCATAAAGGACAGAAGTGAAGCAGGAGTGTTGGGAGGCCAGACGGATATGGGGAGATAAAACTGCAGAAGAGGGGCCTCTGATTGACACAGGAAGCTTTGGATGGTGGTAGCCCGCATTCCCTCCTGACACCCCTGCCCCTTGACTGAACTACAGATTGCACATTAGGAACAGGCATCTGCTGCCATCCATTATATTGAGGCAATGACAGGACGAGGCCCTTAATTGGGGCCACATTTCTGCCCTAGATGGAGGCTTCAGGATATTGCTAGGAATGGAGGGTTTGAGTTATAAAAATAGGCGTATAGGCTGGGACATCCGTCACTGGCGTGTAGGAGGTTATAACCTTCTGGAAGTTTTTAAATTGTGAGGGGCATAGATAAGGCGAACAGCAAAGGTCTTTTCCTTAAGGTGGCAGAGTTCAAAATGAGGAAGATTTAAAAAGGACATGAGGGGCAACTTTTTTTACACAAGGAGCGGTTACTGTGTGGAATGAACTGCCAGAGGAAGTGGTGGTTGACATTTTGATAAGTACATGGATAGGAACAGTTTGGAGGGATATGGGCCAAACACAGGCAGGTGGGACTGGTTTAGTTTGGGAACATGGTCAGCATGGGCCAATTGAACCAAAGGGTCTGTTTCCATGCTACATGACTCTATGACTCAGCTGACACCTCTTACACTGCCTGTAAAATCATGGCAGGAGCGGGGCTAGGTGGATGAATGGCAAGTACTCTACCAATATAAATAGACGCAGAGTGAAACTGTGGTTGTTAGATTAGGACACATGTCTTTGTATATAAATTCTCAGCAAAGTCTGTAAAGGTTCATTCCAGCTCAAACCTTTAACAACTGACTGTATGGAGTATGGCAACATGACAGCATGGTTGAGAATGACCTTTCTGGGAGCTAATAGCCACCTACCTGCTTGGGGAGTGTGTGGCAGTGGGTTTGGTTCCACTCTTTGTTGCTAGTAGTCGGGGTGGCTTGGAACTGATTTCCCTAGACCAGACTCCACTGGCTTTAGCTCATGTCATTGGCAATGTGCTATAGCCAATCTGAACCTGGAGAATACTCATTCCACCATGTAGAAGGATGGAAAATTCCCAGGTATGGCATATCATCCATCTCCAACAGTGACCACCCAGAGAGATGTTCCTCTCCTGCACATTGTGGGCCATTTATACTGCAGACAGACGAAAGGTAACCTAAGTAAGGTTTACTGTTCACAGGTCTGCTGTACAAGAGATGCTAGTGTCAAATTGGCAGCTTGTTTCTGGGTTGGAGTCCTTGCAGCATGTGGCGAATTTATGTTTCTTTGGAATGGATTTTCTTTATCATCTGCTCTTCTCTGGTGTAGATTTTATGTTCAACAGGGTATTTTACCTGATGCAGCAGTGCTTATATATCTCCCATAATGGAACAAACTAATTTTATATATAAACATTACATTCACAAGCCCACCTATGTTAGAGCTAAGAGCTGTTAGATTATAGAGAACATGTCATGCTTCAAATGATCTCCAGTAGGATGGCATATGACACCTTAAACCCTCAGTTCACATGCTATGGTACAGTGATATATCATGAGCATAGCTGTTAAAGGTATGCTGATGTACTGACCATGAGGCATATCACAACACTTTCTGACTGATTTTATGGTGATACCCCATATTTAAGAAAAAAACGTTTTCTCTACCTGATCATCAGAGATTAAAAAGGTTGGCTCACAGTATGGTGGTAGCAGTCATGGAGGCATAGAGGTTTACAGCATGGAATCAGGCCCTTTGGCCCAACTTATCCATGCTGTCCAGTTTTCATGATTAACCTAGTCCCATTTGCCTGCTTTTGGTCCATATCCCTCCATACCTACCCCATCCATGTACCTGTCCGAATTTTTCTTAAATGACAAAATTATATTCGCCTCCACCACTACCTCTGGCAGCCTGTTTCCAGACACTCCCTACCCTCTGTGTGGAAAATAAATGCTCCTCTGCATTCCTTTTGTATCTCTCCCCTGAGACTCTGAGTTTATCAAGAGTGGATTCATAAGTGTCCCAAAATCCCAGAAAAGGTGCTTTATTTGTCAGTATTTAAACAATTCTTTACACTTCAATTTCAATCTTTTACACTATGCAGTCTCCAGCAAATGATTGGTGATAACTGGCAAACGTAACAAATACGTCATTTACCACAGCCAGTATACTCTATTCAGTCATTCAGATTTACTTTCCTCTCCTTGGGAAGAGGCCTACCTCTTTCTTTTAACAAACTTTGACCTCAGCTTTATCTTGCTCACGCTGTTGCCATCTTTAATGTCATCCAACTAACTGTACGACATTTGCAAAGAAAAATTCCAGGACAATCGCAAATGCAGTGGACAAATAGTCCACATTATCACATCTGATTCATTGTGTTTGCTTTAAAAGAAACTCCAGCTTTTCTAAAGTGGCTGTGACAATTCAGTCTTTTACTATTGAACAGTTACAGCACTCAATGTAAACACTTACACAGTCCTTTAGCAAATACACCAAAATCAGTGATCTTACTTAGGTCTTCAGCAAGCTTAGTGTGCTTTTTCCTTCATTTAGTTTCATTTAATTTAAATGCATTTCAGCTAACCCAACAAATTTCAGGTTAAACATCTACAAAATGAAACAGACTGTAATGCCTTGGAGGCTGTAATGGGTGATAAGCATACAAGGGGAATGTCACGTTATGCAATTAAAGTACAATTTACCTATTAAAATGAACAGTCGGCAGAATCTTATAGAAGGCGGAGTGATGTGAGCAATGGCAGGATTTGTGGCAGAATTGGGCAAGGGGTTCAGTGAAGCCCATTTCAATGTCGAGTCCCATCCCGCTGAGCTTTTATGCTTTTTATAAACGGCGTGAACAAGATTCTTACCGGACAGCAGCGAGATGCAAACTGATGGGGATTAATGCATGTTAATTGCTTCGCTTAATGAGACAACTCAATCATATTCAGCTTCCCACCTTACTGAACTAGACATCAGGAAAGCAGACTGTGTACCTGGTGGACCCAGCCTGTCTGCATGACCTCCATGCCGGACACGAGCTCCTCGGGACAAGATCCTTGGGCTCATCCGGGCGCAAAGCAGCCTTTCAAAGGTGGCACAGATCCAGGGAATGCTAATCTTCGGATATCCACAGTGTGGTGGTTTCTTCCTGGAAAGGTCTCTGTAGGACAGGGCGGAATTTGCACATGAGAGAGGACAAGGACGCGGGTGGCGAGTTAATGAGGAACGTTTTGTAAAATATAAGCGAGAAATGTCACTAGCCTCATGGTGATAAACTCGATAAAAGTCGAACGTAACTCAGACTTTACCAAAATAAGTAAGATTCAGCTCATGAAGTTTAGTCAATATTGTTTTTATTAATATCACTTCTTTACAGCCAAAGTTTAGAAATCTTACCACGTCATTATTTTGGCAAATAACTGAAAGTTCAAATTTTCGTTTCAAATGTTTCAGCGTCTGGAGATGTAACAACTGAGAGTCAGTGCTGGCTTCCAGATAAACCGATTCATTCACTGGGATTCTTGACTTTATAGGTTGTTACATATGTCCTGTCCCCGCTCAACTTGACCTATCCAAGCATGCCCTTCCAATCTCCCTTCCAGAAATTGCTAGCTCCCTTCTTGGGTGTTTTCTCCTCAGGCGCAATTTTACCATTTGCAGTGGAAGTAAGGGGGAGAGCATGTTCAGGGGACACAAATATTCCATCTCCTCTGTGGTAATAACTTGTGGTACCATGTGTCTATCAGCTTGTTATGGGGCTGTCAGGCAGAGCATAGGAGAGTTTCTCGTGGACATTTATGTGAAAAGCCTTTGATGCACTGCAAACAGCAAATTTTATTTTATAAGAAACAGAGAGATTGAAGGGAGAAAACAGCATTACACTCGTCTACAATTCTGTGATATTCCTTTTGAAGGAATAACCTTTGTTCTGACCTTTCTATACACTTGGCAACATGCCCTGACAACTGTTTCAGGGAATTGTACAATGATCATTGGCAAGAATGACTTGGAGTGTGGTACACAGGTCGATATAAATTGCTGACTGGCATGATGGCTCAGTAGTTAGCACTGCTGTCTCACAACACTGAGCCGCTGTTTTTGATTTCAACATTCCCCCTGTTTCTGCATGGGTCTTTCCCGGGTGCTCCAGTTTCCTCCCATGGTCCAAACCTATGCAGATTAGATTGGCTGTGTTAAATTGCTATACTGATAGCTGCCAGACCTGCTGAGCTTTTCCAACAACTTCTGTTTTTGTTCCTGATTTACAGCAACCGAGTTTTAAATTGCCATGTAGTGTGAATGCTAGATGGGGTAAATGTGGAGTAATAGGTATAGGATGGGATGCTGTTTGAAGGGGTTAGTGCAGACTCAGTAGACCAAGTGGCCTGAATATGCACTGTAGGTCTTCTACGTGTCAATTCAGAAATTTCCGAGCATTTATAATTGTATTGATTGAAAATTATGCCACTCTGCTAAATTTTCACTAGGGGGCAATGTTTCTCCATGATTGAATTTTTTATTTTAAAATCAATGAAGACTAACATGGTCATTGTATCACTGCAAATTATTAGGCATTATTGAAATTGTCCTGTGCTCTTAGATCATATTTTTCTGTGTTTGATTTTTGGATATTCTGCACTGCCTCTTTCTGCTGTTTCATCTCTGCATTTGAGAACAGGTCTTCTTCAGTATTTCCATTCAGTGCAGGTGAATGTAGTAATCCATTGCAAATTAGATTAAATAAAATGAGATGTGTGCTACTTATTATAATATTGAGGAACTGAGATATGTTTTATATTTCGCTTTTTAAATCAGTTTTGAACTTCAAGGATTTAGATCAACTTAGAGTCAAGGCCTTTACGTCCAGCAATCCAGGTATATTGACATAACACAGTGTGGAGCTGGAGGAACACAGCAGGTCAGGCAGCATCAGTGGAGCAGGAAAGTTGACGTTTCGGGTCAGGACCCTTCTGCAGATATTGTGGGACTGGTCCTGCCAGATCTTCTGCTCAGAATACTTCATTGTTTTGCAATTTAAGTAAGAGCTGCAGTTCAGGCAAGTGAATTCAAATGTTAAATCTGAAATTTGAACATGTGTTTCTCTGGTTTGAAGAAATGTACTCCATTGCATGAGCTGTGTATTGATGAGGCAATGCAATTATACTAATGACTGCACATTTCTTCATATGAGTGGAGGCTGGTTTGAAAGAACGGGCCAAATCACAATTCTTGTAAAGAAATATTTCTATTTCCCAGTATTTTTAATGATACATTTTGCACTTTGGAATTTTAGAGAAAGAGTTCATTTGTATGTTGCAGAGATTTGCAGGTTCATTTTCATCCTTTGTTCTCTCTCATTCCCAACCCTAGAATAGAATCCCTACAATGTGGAAACAGAGCATACGGACTGCCCAAATTGCCCATTTTCACTGGTTGGTGATTCTAGAATTAGAGAGCATTGTCTGAGAAATAGGGTCGGACAGTTCAGGAGATTGTTAGAGATATTTCTGACTCCAGCATCGGCAGTTCTTACTATCTCTCAGGAGATTGTTAGGAAGCACTTCTACACACAAAGGACAGTAGATGTTTGGAACTGTTTTCCACAAACGGCAGTGTATGCTGGATCAGCTGTTATTTTAAATCTGGCATAAATAAATTATTGTTAAGCAGACATTTTAAGCGATATGAACCAAAGGCAGGTATATGGAGCTAGGTCACAGTTCAGCCATGATCTCTTTGAATGGTGGAACAGGTTCGAGGAGCTGAATGGCCGACAGCTGTTCCCATGTTCTTATGTACTTGCACTGTTGTATCCAATAAAACATGAAAGTGATTTCGAAAGTGAAAAATGTGGCGCATCTTCAACCATCAACAAAATGTGGTGCATTTCTATCTTGCACCTTGGAACCTTACTCATCATCAGCAAAATGAGAGATAGACATTGTCTCGTTCATCAGGGAATCACACACCGATATGTTGCAATCCTTGTTAAGGTGTTACAGAGGAATCCTGGAGACACTGAAGGCAGGACAAAGTCTAGGAGATGAAGTCGGTCCCACAGTATCTAGTTAGTGCACACCACATGTTCACCTTATCAGACTGAGGATGAAATTTGATATCTATCCACAGACTCCAGGAGGGAGAAGTTGTGACATGTTTGACTCAAAGTTGTGCTTCAAAATTTAAGGTCAGAAGTCGCATGACACCTCATTATAGTCCAACAGATTTATTTGAAATCACAAGCTTTTGGATCATAGCCCCTATGTCAGGTGAAGTGAGAGAGGGAGAACACAGAAGCGAAATTTATAGGAAGAGAGATCAAGGGCAGAGAAATCAACCAATCACACCAATGGTGTGAGTGGAGTGTTGAATAATATGTCCCTGCAGGTGATCAAAAGTGTCAGACAGTGTGAATAAAGTGTCAACAGCTGAATAATAAGCGAAGGGATGACCTATAATTCAATTAAATAAGGCAGAGCGATAATTACAAAAAATTAAAAATAAGGTGGTGCTGGAGACAAACCAAATGGCTGAAATAACATGATAGGTATTAGAGCCACATGCCAAGGGTCTAACCAAAGTAATAAGTAAATTAAAACTGTACAAACTAATTAAGGTAGAGATTTCATAACAATTTATCAAGGTGATGGTGTCAAAACAGGACAGTAAGGAAGGTTTTACAGATGCGGGAGAGTGTGGTGGGGTTACAGTATGAACCCAAGATCACGGTTGAGGCCATCTTCATGGGTACGGAACTTGGCTATTAGTTTCTCCTCGGCGATTCTGTGTTGTTGCGTATCTCGAAGGCCGCCTTGGAGGACGCTTACCCGAAGATCAGAGGCTGAATGTTCTTGACTGCTAAAGTGTTCCCCAGCTGGAAGGTAACATTCCTGTCTGGCAATTGTTGTGCAATGTCCATTCATCTGTTGTTGTAGCGTCTGCATGGTCTCACCAATATACCATGCCTTGGGGCATTCTTACCTGCAGTGTATGAGATAGACATTGGCTGAGTCACATCAGAATTTGCCGTGCAGATGGTGGGTGGTGTTCCCATGTGTGGTGGTAGTACCCATGTCGATGATCTGGCATGTCTTGCAGAGGTTACCATGACAAGGTTGTGTGGTGTTGTGGTCAATGTTGTACTGAAGGCTGTGTAGATTTCTGCGAACGATGGTCTGTTTAAGTTTTGGTGGTTGTTTGGAGGTGAGAAGTGGGATGATATTGGTGAGATGTTCGTCATCATCGAAGACATGTTGAAGGCTGTGAAGAACATGGCATAATCTCTCTGCTCTGGGGAAGTAATGGACAACGAAGGGTATGCTGTCGGTTGTATCCTGCATTTGTGTTCTGAAGAGGTCGTTGCAGTGTTTTCCGCTGTGGTATGTCAGAACTGGCGATTGATAAGTTGAGCATCGTATCCTGTTCTTATGAGGGTGTCATTCAAAATCTTTAGGTATCTGTCATGTTCCTCCTCATCTGAGCAAATCTGGTGTATGTGCAGGACTTGTCTGTAATGGATGGCTTCTTTAATGGGTTTAGGGTGGAAGCTAGAGAAGTACAGCATCATGAGGTTATCTGTTGGCTCATATCGACGCAGACGTCAAGTTTCTGCAGAGATGCAAGAAAGCAGAGAAAATCCCAAATGGACTACAGATCACAAATCCATTCAAGTCGACTTACAGCACAGACTACGCTGAGAGACTCAGCCATCACACCTCTCACACTTTCCTCAATCTTCTCATACACCAGCTCTACAGCAGACGCACAAGCTTGAAATCATGATAGAGTCCATATTCTCAGCTTGTGCTCGGAATGCAGTGGATCAGCAACAAGACACTGCCAAGCAGACGAGGCAATGGAACTGCACCACCTATTCCATACCAAGAACAAGAAACTCAAGAAACTTGGCATCACCACCAGCAGTAAGCAAGCCTCCCCTGGTACCACAGTGGACAGCGGTACCACCAGATGGAAATCTATCATCAACTTGTCTGACCACACTCTTGAAGCCAGACAAAATTGAAGTTCTCAGCCAATGGCTTAATTACTGCCCCACGACCAAAGTGGACCCCATTGGTCTCGTGGCAGACTCAGAGGAATTCATCAGACGAATGAGGGTCCAGGAATTCTTCCACAAGCCCCAAGGTGTCAGCAGCGAGCCCAATGAGACAACCAATGAACCGGAACAGTCGACAGAGAGATCCGTGGTGCAACGACCAAAGAAGAAAGAGTCGAATTGGACCCCTCTAGAATGCTGCTGCCCTGGGCTTGGCATGTATGCTCAAGCCATCAGGGGATGTGTTAATGCCAGATTCATCAGCCCTGCTTACAAGAAAGCGTAGAATGTCACCCATGCAGAATGCACCCGTCAACTGAACAGAATGATCAAGGCCTTTGATCAGGACCTTCGGAGTATTATATGCACTTTCGTCCCACGTACTTCCCACATAGGAAACTTCTACTGCCTTCCGAAGATACACAAAGCCAACACACCTGGACATCCCATCGTATCAGGCAATGGGACCCTGTGTGAGAGCCTCTCTGACTAATCGCCGAGCAGGAACTGATAGC